TCTCCCGCCACACAGAGGAGATAAAGTCCCGTCGCAGCCTGGTCCAACTGTTCCTCGAAACTGCGCAGGTCAAACTGGCTCCAGACATGGGCTTCTACATCCAGGCCAGCCTCTTGGATCTCAGTCAGGGCCTGCTGCAATCTCAGCTTTTCTTGGTCCCTGCGGGCATTCACTTGGCCGTGTGTACGCAGTTCTTCGTCTGCATATAGCGTCAGTGAGACCGGATAGAAGAACAAGGGGATGAACTTCGTCAAACCAGACAGCCACAAGCTGTTGCACAAGGAAGCCATCCTTGGGGATACCACACAATCAGACTACGCAATTATCTGCTCTGAGGTCTCTTCAGAAATTCAGAACAACAAAAAAGAAAATAAATAAAATCCAAAAATAATTATCAATGTCTTAGTCTACTTTCTTTTTAATGTGCTTTGCTCCTTGTGATGCTGTTTACAATGTGTGTGGGTTCCTTCTGGCCGTGTGATCAGGAATCATCAACAGGCAGTCCACAGGCCAGACAACATCAGAAACCGCACAGGTAAGTCCACGTCAGCATCAATCAACACATTAACGAGGTAAGTCCAGATCAGAGTCAATCAAGGGTCTGGCTCACATCATGCCGCTGTTCTTCTGGTTCCTTGTCAGCTTATCTTCAACAACCGCTGCGGTTCTCTCTTCAGTATGCCACGTAGGCAACGCTATCGCCGGCATGCCACGTGGACAATGCTCTTCGCCAGTATGCCACGTAGGCAATGCTATCGCTAGTATGCCACGTGGACAATGCTCTCGCCAGTATGCCAGGTAGGCAATGCTCTCGCCAGTATGCCAGGTAGGCAATGCTATTGCCAGTATGTGACGTCAGTGCTTAGTTGTCTTCTTCAGCGCTCTTCAATCAGTGCAGCTTCTAGTGGCGATTTATTCCCTCGCGGGAACCAACGAGTGATCGCCACGTCAGCACAGGCCTATGGTAAGAACCACTCTGCCTTTGCCACGTCAGCACCCCTTTCAGAGAGAGCCTATTCTGGCGATTTATTCCCTTGCGGGAACCAGCCAGCTGGTGCCACGTGGACGCAAGCATATGGTTACAACCACTCTGCAAGTGCCACGTCAGCACTCTATCAGAGAGATATCTTCAACTTCTTTCACGCAGTCGTCGAGCAGCAAATCGGTGAGACGAGGTGAGTTCGCTCCGATACCAAATTGTAATGAACCCAGTCTCGCCATCCAATCATGTCACAGATAACAATGTTGTGCAGTGTCGTGAAATAATCAATCCAAGTCCATCAGTTCGAAGTCATTGAAGTACATGTTTCCTCATCACAACGTGTAAAGTCCACACCATAGAGAAGAGAGAGGAGGGGAGAATCGACAGTTGGAAGGAGAAGTGTAACACAGCAATTAAGCCCCTCTTCTCCTTCAGGCTCCCCACCTCTGCCACGTCGGCAATCCATGCTCAATGTGCCACGTCAGCATTCCGCACTCACTGTGCCACGTCAGCATTCTGCACTCAATGTGCCACATCACCATTCCGCACTCAATGTGCCACGTCGGCCAACTAAACTCAAGGAGACACGTGGACGATTGTGGAAGCAGCCCTCGCAGATAAACGATCCTCCAACAGCGAGCAGAATCGGCAGCCGCGTCACATCTGAAGAAACCAGGTACGTACGCATGACAACTCACATCACCCACACTCTCTCTCTCCCTCACCTCATTCCCTCGCCATCATCTATGGTCGCGGCCGTGGCTGTCTTCTCCCTCTCTCTACACTATGATATCTGGCTGGCGCCCATCAAGCAGCCTGGCGCGAGCACTCCCTCTCAAGTCTCGCGTGCAGCGTCGTAGCCACAAGCAACTCGCAAGACTGAATGCTCAAACAGTGGTGAGGTCAACCTTTTGTAGCGTTGACTCGCGCTGTCCAGAGTCAGGGTCGGTCCATGTGTGGGCCTGCATCATCCCGTAGTCCCAGTTTCATTCTGGACTCTAGGCCTGAATCTTCCGGAACCTGCAGACAACTGTTAGATCATTCCAAATCAACGGCCAAGAAATCTTGGGTGTTGACTTTGACATCTCGGATCTGGGCCGGGGTACACGAGTTGACTGTTGACTTTTCGGTCAACTGTCGGCCTGGGTTATTTTCAAGGCCTGTTGGACCCCTCTTTTTCGAGGCCTACCCGTTTCTACTCGTCTGTGGGCGCGTCGGGAGCCCAGCGGCTCAATTTGGCACACGAGTTACAGCATCATCGTGAAGGAAGGTTCTTTTCCTTCTTTTTCTTCTCCTCTTACTCACCCCCACCTTGCTCTGAGAATATATCTTCCCCCTAATTGCCCAGAGCTGACTGGTCACGCTCTGACCCATTAGCCAGTGGACACCCATGGATGGCGGGGTGATGACTAAGGCCTACTCTTGGGAAATGGGCTCATTTCTGGCATTCAATAGTGCAGTGCATATCTTCACTTGTGGACCGCATGAGATGAAACATGATGGTTCAATTCTTGTGGAACAAGCCAGATGAAATGTGGCGGAACACAGGTGAAGCCATGGACAGCTGGTGAAGAACATTGCTGCTGACTTCTGTGCGAGGATCCTTGTCCTCGACAGCAACATTAGGGCCCCACTGCAAGCATTGTGCCGTCTCTAAGTGAAGGTGGGCCAGCACATTCCTATGCGGCCTATTTTTGGTCTATCTGAGGGGGCCCAGACACTTCGTGGGTGCCAGTTGGTTACGAAGGCCCGGTGTGACCAGGGCCTGCATTCAACCGTCCTGTGTGCGGCATCACGCCTCTGCTTCCGGCCAATTAGGAAGCAGCGAAGAGCACAGGCCACATCGTGCAGTTGGGGTCACTTGACTGCTTCGGTCCCAGGCCAGTATCTGAGTTGGGGCCTGGGTGCAGACACTTTGGGCCGATGTGAAGCTACTGGAAACTCGGTCCACCAGGGGAGACTGCCTGCCAGAGGCCATACTGGCAGCAGCGTTGCCGGATTGCTCATTCTGGCCTAGGGCATACTGGCAGCAGCGCTGCTGGAGCGCTGAGACGCTGCTGGGCGCACACGGGCACAAGTGGTGGGTGCTGCTGGGTGCAGCACCAGAGCTAAGCCATAGCCAGGCTTGAGCTCGTTGAATGCCAGTGGGGTCCGGCGGTGGTCCTTGGACAGGGACATAGTGAGTGGGGGAAGACGAGGGTGAGAGAGAGCATGAGAGGGATGTACCTGGTTGTCCCATGGAGGTCTGCATGGGCAGCATCTTCACGTACAAGTGGTCTGCAGCTGAAGTCTGTGGCATATTAGCCACTATTCTTCTAGCTTTAGTTTTTACCATGGTTGTCCACAGCAGGGTTCTTTTTGTTCTTTTTTTTTTTTTTTTTTTTTTTTTTTTTAAATCCAGACATCCGTACCTGATCATTTGTAACCGGACCGTCCGGGTCCGTATGTCCGGTTGTCTGGATTGGCGTCCGAATTACCGGACGTCCGGATTAATCCAGACACAGGTCCAGGACCGGTGTCCGGTGTCTGGATGTCTGGGTCCATTTTTTTTTCTGCATTTCAAGGAATGGAATGGTGGAGATCGAGATCAGTCCCAGTTCCTGGCCCGACAGACAAATGGTCTGATGACTTCATCCTTTTAGGGGCAGTCACACAACGCCATCAACCTAATGGACCACTGACCTTCCCAGAAGAGACCCTTCGACGGTCTGTGCTTTGGACACTATGGACACTCAGGAACTCTGCAATCCATAGGGGAGAAAGACTGACTTCGGCAATGATAAGAGCTGAGGTAAGGTCATCAAACAGACCATCTCAACAGCGTGGTCTCTTAAAGTCGAAAAAAAAGGGTATACATCGAAGGCACTGAAGATTTTTCTTCGGCATTGGGATAGATTCCCTGACTTGCTCAGAGTGCAGTTGCCTCAGGGCACTTATCCGCAGCTTGAATTTTCAGCTTTCTTCGTCGCATGACAAAATGTTTCGTTGCACTGACTTCAGTCACCTGAGGATAAAGGTCTCAGTTTCTTTCAGTTTTTCAATACGAATGTGATGAGAATAGAGTTCCTCACCCTTTGAGGGCTTGATTACATCAGTTCTTTTGCTACAAAATTTTTGAAAACAAAAGAGACATAGAATTTGAGAATGGTCTGAGAATAGAATGAGATAGAAGTAAAGGCTACAGTTCGGTTTGAACATTCCTCATTTGCTTAGGTTTGTAGATTTCTCAGTTGGTGGGATTCTGTGACTCCTGATAAGGGCTTGGCTGGTGATGACTCACTCTAATTGGGGGCCGACTGTACATATGTCAGGGACGCCAAAAGAGACATAGAATTTGAGAATGGTCTGAGAATAGAATGAGATAGAAGTAAAGGCTACAGTTTGGTTTGAAGATTCCTCATTTGCTTAGGTTTGTAGATTCCTCAGTTGGTGGGATTCTGCGACTCCTAATAACGGCTTGGCCGGTGATGCCTCGCTCTAATTGGGAGCCGACTGTACATATGTGAGGGACGCCGGGCCCGTTTCTTGGCTTATAAAAATTTTTTCTTCTGAAAAAAAAAAAAAAAAAAAAAAAAAAGAAGGAATATATAGAAGCTCCTTTTACCATTTCTGATGTTATACATGGCTCTACATTCTTTTTAGCTTACTGGATTCCAAGGCTTTCATGTCATCGTAGAACCATTTTTCTTATTATCTGTTGTGTTTACGCGCTGTGTGATTGTAGTCTGGGCGCTGAGCGCCGATAGGAGAGGAGACATTGGATATATTGTTGATGGTGGCAAGAAGGGCCTGACATCGACAACTGAGCTCATTGCTTTGGTCTTCATTGGTATATAGCTTTGTGCTTTCTGCTTTCTGGACAGCATTCAATTTTCTGGCTTTCAATGTGATGCTGCAATTTGGATTTCTGTCATTTTGTCCTTGCTCATAATCCTTCCATCTGCATGTATGCTTGAAGAGAGGGGCTTGGGATATGGGCTGAGCGTGCACGGGTTCATGTGAACTGATTTGTGTGCAGATGGGTGAGCAAGGGCGATGCCGAGCTGTCATCAGATTCATCGAGAATTGTGGGTTCGCTCTGAATGACATCAGTGCGGTGTTTACTGCCCACGAGGAAGGGCTTTATCGACCAGGTATACCATTTCATATTTTGAATGTTACTGGTTGATGGTCCGTTCATCCATCCTTTCATACACCTGTCCGCCCACCTTCCCGCGGTCCCTGCCCGTCCCTGCATGGCTGTCAAACTGTCTGTGCTTGTGTGTCTTGTAGACAAATCATCAATGCCACTCGAGACTACCCTGACCACCACCACCTGATGTACAAGGAGTATCTTGTGATGGCCCTCGACACTTTGCCTCATTCCCCAGGCGTAAAGATCCCCACTCTACCTCGATGCACGGGAAACATAGTGCAACACCGATTAGCTCATCTCCCCTTTTCACTCCAAGGAAAGCATTGTGTGACACCGCTCAACACTCAACTCTTCTCCGACGGATGGGAGTGCTGTGAAACTGCCGGACTCTCTTCCTGTCAGCCCCCTTGCAGACATCATATACTGATATCTTTTCACTTCTCATCCACTGTACCCTCACGTTGTAAGGCGTCTTGCAATCTCTGATGATTGTCCGCTGCTAATGGGCAGAGGTAAAGTCTTGAAGGGGGTCACAAGTTGCTTCGCATGCACAGGGGGACAAAGAGTTCCAAGGGTTTTACAAGACGCTAGGAACATGGGGTATCAAGGGTCAGGACAACATGCCATTTGTGCTATGTGGAGTTTTTCTTTTGTTCTTTTCTCTGTTTTCGATTTATACGTGTCATTTTTGCACAAGGGCCAAGCTAATCTTCTCTGCATCATTCCAAGATGCTGTTTGCAGAAGTGGGTGGAGGCAGGGGAGCTTGTAGGTGGTCACACAACATTTTTCCGGAGGGGGGGGGAAGGATGGGGGTAAGTGGTATGAATGTTGACCAGCTGCAAGATAATTTGCACCCAATGGGGAAGGGGGGAGGGGGGAGGTTGGACAGGGGTGGAGGGGGTGGGAAGGATGGGGGTAAGTGGTATGAATGTTGACCAGCTGCAAGATAATTTGCCCCCAATGGGGAAGGGGGGAGGGGGGAGGTTGGACAGGTGTTCAGTGGGGGGGGTCCAAGATGCTTTGCACACACGAACCAGAGGAGAGGGAGTGTTGGAGGGGATGACAAGATGCTTTCCTGTATCAGGGCAGAATGTGGGAGCTTTTTATGAGGGAAAGGGGGTGAGGGAGTCATGGGGTGTTCCGCATGCAAAAAGGGACACACACGGAATTTCAAGGGCGGTGACTAGATGCTTCGCACGTAAATGGGATGGAGAGGAAGCATCAATGGTGGGTTCGCAAGGTGCTGTGCATGAATTGCAGGAGGCGAGTACCAAGGGTGGTCAGTACCTGCTATCTTGGCAAAAGTGGTATGGTTGAAAGATGCGTTGCAAGTGTGCTTTCCAAGAAGGGGGCCAGTATTTTGAGCCGAGAAGTATGGCACGATGATACGAAGAAAGTTCAAGAAACTTATCAAGTTCGTTTGTTTTCTGACCAGAGTCGGTAATATAGTTTTTAACTTTTTAGATTATTAAAATTGAATTTTAGTATTATCGAGTTTAGTATGTACCTAGGCTACCAGCTGGGCGACCCGGGTCCACCTTGTTTGCCAGGGCGGCCCGGCCATGCAAGGACCAAAGACACTAATGGTTAACGGGACCCCCCCTTTTCAGGTCCTGACGAACAGACCCAAAACTGAAGTTAGGGTTTGGGGTTCAAATTATAGTTTTTTCTTTTTTTTTTGGTGCCTGTTTTTGTTTTGGGCCAAGGTTTGGGTGTAGCAAATTTGTTCTCATTTGGAGCATTGGAATTTCCTCTGCTGAGATTTTTGAAATTTCTCAAGATGGAATGTTGGCGAATTTACATGGAAGTGCACTTTTGCCTTGCTGTTTTATAGTTGTTGTTTTTTTTTTCAATTATTTTTTTGCAATTAGTTAGTATGGTCTCCATTCTATGAATTGCTGGCAAGTTTGGATAAAATGACTCTTGGGTTTTGCTCATACTTGCGGCACATCCCGTGCGCGGGGTCGCGGCACATGCGGCGCAGAGCACACGCGTATGCACGAGCGCTCACGTGATGCGGCGCATCAACAAAAAAAAGTAATTAAAAAAGAAAAATTAAAGGACAGGGTGGGGTGGCCAAACTTGCCCCTCGCCTCCGAAAATCAAACTGAAGAGGGAAAAAAGTTGGGGCCGCCCCTCACCCCAACACTATGAGCACATGTGTGTGTGTGTGTGTGGTGTGCACGTCCTAATTGTGTCCAGTCTCGTTTCCGAAGGGCCCCTACGAATTAGCAAGGACCCCTCGTGGAGCAGAGATGAACATTAGACTGCTGGTTTGCCTGCGTGGGCCGAGAATATATTGTCTGGATTCGAATTCAGGTCTGTGCATCACAGTTATGGGTCACTAATTCTCTGTTTTCTCGTCTTTCTTTTGTTTCTCGTTTTTCTTCTGTTTTCTCGTTTTTCTTTTGTTTTCTCGTTGTTCTTTTCTTAGGAATACGTGCAGTGGCCCTAAGGGCCTCTACTCACCACATGCACAAAAAACAAAACATATGGCCGCATATTATTCCCAGTTCTAGCAGAAGATTCATTCTAATTCTGAACATTTGCAGTGGCCCTAAGGGCCTCTACTACTCACGACATGCACAAAAGACAAAACATTCGGCTGCGTATTATTCCACGTTCTAGCAGAAGATTCATTCTTGTTCTGCACATTTGGTTAGTACTGCAGCCAAGCCCTGATAATCACGTGCAGATTGCAGAGACCAACAGGGCCTAGCGAAGTGAGCAACTCATAACTGCTGAAACACAGACGTGAATATGAATCCTGAGTATATGTTCAGCCAGCTCGTGCTCCACTTCGTATTCACTGCCTGCCTCGATTTTGGTGGAGGGTCCTTTGTAACGGGAGTGAGGCTGAGGGTGAGCCGAGGGAGAGGAGAGAGAGAGGGAGAGAGTGAGAGCACACACACACACTCACTCACTCGACACGACGGACTCGGACTGAGGGTTGGACGCAGACACAGTGGCAAGGCACAAAGTCGAAGTCTTGGATTCCCAATGCCGAAACGGCAAGTCACACTGAGTACAAGTACAGCAGCAGAGAACTGGTACGAG